ATTTAAAAGTGAATACTGGTATTTTCTCTCAGCTTGAAAGTGAAAGAATATCAGTCAGAAATCTGGTATGTAATATTGCAAGCACAATAGGTAAACAATGGAATGGTATTTTTACGGTCTTGGATTGCTTAAAGACCACACTGACCTGGAAAACCAATGCACCATAGGAAAATCATGCATTGTTTAGTAAGGAATTCGGCAGAGCTGCCTAAGATGCCATACACTTAAATATAGCTCTTAACGGGTCTAATTTCATGAATCCTTGGATTACATTTAAATTGTATTTGTTGTCTTTTTGTTATTATTTGTTTAGACTATATTTTATTGCATTGCTGTAAGGTTTTCTCAGGGTTTTGTGGTCCGCCAAAGTTCTCTTGAATGGTAGAGACTTAGTCAGATTATTAAACTTTGTTTATTAAAAAAGCATTCAGAAAAAACTAGAGAAACACTTCATTTATCAAAATTAATAGTAAAATAAAGTATATATAATACCACACTAGCATTGCTGGTCACTGCCAATTGTTCTATAATAACCAGTAGGACGGTGCAATATAAATCCACCATATCAGTTTTAACACCATACCGTATATTGCCAAATTATTTTTGAATTTTTTAAATTATTGGGCAGGGTACATTTCTTGTAATTTTTTTTTCCAAATCAAAATCAACAATTTCTGGATTAAATCATGAAGATTAAAACCATGAGAAAAGTCCAAAATTTATTAAAACTGTAGTATGTTCCTGACAAACACACTCTTGTCTCGACTACAAATAAAAATGAATTAATCAGTCAATCTAATCAAACCAATTTAATAAAGTAACATTTATAATTAGAAAAATTAAAACAAAAATGGTTGTAGTACCTCACATGCTAAAAAAAAATTATTAAAGTGCATTATATGTTTTGGGGGACCATCACTGTAATTTGAATGTAGGTTAATTCTCAAAATGCTACAAATCAAATTAGGACCACATTGAATGATGAATGTCATAGCCAAGCAAGGATCAGAGGGAGATTTTCACAATTGTTATCATAATTGGTATGTTCCAGGTATTCTTTTGTCAATTCTACTAATTGTGCAAATCAACCAATTAATCAATCAAAGAGCATTTATATTATAATTAAAAACATTAAATAATTAGATTTTTTATAGTACTTCAACATTTTCAACAAAATTGTTAAACTGCATTTATATGCTAAATTAATCAGGAGGACCTAAAATTAGTTTTTGCAATAATGTTGTCTTTCTTGCTGAAAGGTGATTTAAATCATAAGCAAGCCAATAACAGAGAGTACACTAATTGAATTCTGCCAATCTGTAATGGAAATCTTGATAGCTGTGTCAGCTTACTTGGTCTAGTTTTGTTCTGGTATTATAAACATTGTTTTCAAATGCCTCCTACGCTATCACAATACTGCCTGGATACGTATCCAATGCATTCAACGCAAGGTAATATTACATACATGTGTGCGGTGATATTTATTTCAACAACAATAAGCCAGTATGGTGCTATTTACACTTGATTCTTGATACGGTAGTAAGTCGGTGTCATGAAATAAAAGCTAACAAGTGAAATATTCACGCTAAGAGTATAGATTTTTGGAAATATGTTTGATTTTAATCTGATCTTTCCACTACTGTACAGCAAAGGAAAAAGGAAAAATGTATTATATCTTATTATTAGGTATTATCTCTGTGGTTAATGAGCTCGCCTTCACTTGATTTAGATTCAATCCCTGCAAATGACGATTAATCCTTCTTTTTTTTAAAGAGCATGACTGAATAGATGAATCAATAAAGGAATAAATCAATCAATCATATATTTCGCGCAGCACTTCAAACAGCGAAGTTTTCAATTTCGTCTGTAAAAAACGTTTGGATGTCCACATATTGGAAGAGCATTTCATTTAAAAAGAATAAAATGAAAAGAGGTTCAACTCTCATGATTTTTCATTAATGCAATGGAATGGAAAATGAAGTGCCTTATGTATATATCAAAATATAAATAAATTTGATAAATATAATCACATCATACAATGTTAAAAATCCTATGTTTCTTTTGAAGGATGCCCCTAATTTGGGGTAGTACTGTTTTCAAGAGAAGAGGATCGCCTTCTGAAGACAACCTAAGTGGAGGAATCTCTTTTGATTCTATACCATACCCTGATTTCATACTAGGTGCTTTAATAGTGGAAGCGGAACCATGTTTTTCAAGACTGCCATCTATTTTGTTTTGGCACAAAAGAAACACTGCTTGGAGCAGTAGTATGGAGAATTTAGATGATGTGGTATTCATCTTTTATGAATATCAACAGGTCTTTGGTTTCGATATTATACAATCTGGATAGATAGCAGTGAAGTTTATTTTTGAAAAACATAAGCAGTATTTTGAGGTCAATTTGTGAAATGTGATTAAATTTCCTTATGCGGGATATGATCCTGGCAGCAAGATTCTGAGTATGTTGCGGAGCATTCAATTTAACCAATCAATATAAGCATAACAGTTGTAGAGTAATTGAATGTGTCTTTATAAATACTAATATCTTGTCCTACGTAGGCTTGCAAGGCTATGTAAGTTCACATACTATCCTGCAACTGAATGTACTATTTTGTTAGTTAAAAATATTTTTTACTTGTTTACCTCAATATTTTTCTATGTGCAAACAATTTTAGCTTATCTGATGAATTGGTAAATTTTATGTTGATAGCTATCCATAAAAATATATACAATTATGCAAGGATGACAATAAATGACTTTGCAACAAGAAAGTACTTCTCTTGAATACCATTGCATATAATCAATAAAGTTCATTTTACTTTTTGTTAATTTTTTTTTGTTACTTTTATTATTGCCTCAAGACAATAAAAACATTTAATATTTTTTGGGTGTTACTTAAAATTATGTAATGCTTTACATACCAAAAATGGTTATCAAGACGATTAGAAAAATAATAAACAATAATAGGCCTATCTGAGTACATATCCTTCTTCTGATAGTATCTCCTAGCAATCTTTGTCTCCATTTATACATACAGTAGCTACTTTTGCCTTTATCTACTATTGTCACCTAGCCACCCATAACTACTAACTGTCTTTCAATTCCATGGCTCTTCCCTTTGCTAGTTACCCTCAAGAACATACTGTAATTACCACTTTTTTACTACTGTATGCTTAGCTACCAGCCACTATCTATCCAAAGTCTATTTCCAATATAGCCTTAGCCACTACCCTTTGGTTATCACCTCAAACCAACCAAACTACTGTATTCCTATTCCTGTATTTCTATTTTCCCGAGTTACTCTTCTCATGATACACCTGTCCTAGTTACAGTATCCCAATCCCTTACTTAACGAATTCCCTAGCTATCAATTTCCCTACAGTATCTGTCTACCTCATTTGTAGCTATTCCTGCCTAGTGGCGTAGTAAAGTCTTTAAATGGGGGCAGGGTGATGGGGAAGGCACGAAGTGGGGAACTCGACCATTAGGTGAGGGGTACTATTTCGTATGATAAGGGGATTTGCAGTGAGTTTCAACTATTTCAGCATGACTTTTGGGACCATGATTGTGGGGGGAGGAGATAAGCATTTATTGGGGGTGTGCCTCCCCGCTCACCCATTAGATAAGCCATTGCTCCTGACTGGCTCTTCCCAACAACTTGGTAATATGTGATAGACACGGAGGAAGTACTACTAGATTATAAGCGTGAATATTAACAATAACTAAAGGACAACTTTCTGTTGAAAAACCCAATAAATTTTATTATTAATATTAATATTGTATTTAACTAGTATCATGAACTTATTATTATTATTAATATTTTATACCACTAACATATTTTATTTTACCAATTATTTAAAATTCCTTCACTCTTATAAAGAGAATCTGATAAAAATAATTCCCTTTGGTAATATGTAGATATTTAGCATTTATAGAAATCATAAACTGCATTCAACCAGGTTAACAGTTTTTATTTCCGTTTCCAAGACGATTTTCATCTTGAGAGGAAGAATCCAATCCAAAAGGTAGATGGTGTGTCCTGTATAACTTTTTCCACTTCTATGAACCTTTCAACTTTCTACGTGCATTAACTAATTAACAATTTCTCCAGCCACGACCCAGTGCTTGATAAATTATTCAATTGATTAGTTTACCTCGAATGAACTTTGTAAATAAATTAATAGATAAGAATAATTAAATCTATAAAAAAAAAATATTTATTTTATTTTTTAATACTTAGAAATTGCGATGTGACCAGCGTTCATGATTCGTATTGGTTTGGAAAGAAATAAACGAAAAAAAAGTCTAACATCCTCTGATCCAGTGACTTTTGTACAATTTCTAACTTTCCTAAATCTAATGCATGCATATCATCTGTCATGAAGACGATATATTATTGTTCATATAAAGGTAACTGACTTCAGATGACAATTAAAATCAATAACTATTAAAAGATGAAGCATTTCATTTGGTTAAAGGTCATCTAGAGTATTAATAACACAATAATAGAAACAATTTCTTCTACAGATATCACAAGGATCTTCAGGAGCAGGAAGATTTACATCAAAAAATATTTTTTCCAAACATCAAGCATTAAATTTTGGGAAATGAACCAATTTTTTAAACTTTTGTTTAAGATAAACTTTTTATATTGTTCCTTCATTGACATTATGCAATTTTTTTTCTTTTCTCATCTATATATGCCGGAGTGACTGTATGGTAAGTACATATGATAAAAAGTAATAATGGACATTGGACAATAGAATATAACAATACAAGGTCTCCCTCCAATTAAAGACCACTTATGGGTCTTGACCACAGAGAAGTAGTCCTTAATTGGAGGGGTCTTTAATTATAGGAAGACCTGTATTATTAATTTTACCATTATTAATGATAATGAACAACTGTTGTGATAAATTTTTGTTGCGACTGAACCAAAGCTTATATATGGAGAAGTAATTCTGAAAAGTTACATGAGATATAAAAATATGGATACTTACATATAGCACATAGAGTGAAGATCTTGATCTGTTGTGTTTGGTAATAGGCCCCTTATATAAAGATTCGTTTTACTAAGTTGTTCCCCGTGCATGGACTGCGGAGAGTTCTGTGAGCCGGACCCTGTGCTAATGGTACTAGGACTGGGAGGGGGCATGTTTCGTGGTTGAGGATTAAACTGTAAGAACAAGATACAAATATATATTTCAATATTTTAAAATCACACATGTATAATATGGAAACTTTTTTTTAAAATTATTATTACTGTTTTTCTTTTTATTTGTATAATAAAGCATAATGAAGTTACACTAATATGGAACATACAGTAACAAATATGGAACATAATGCAAAAACTGTCCCGACAGCTTCAGACTAAATAAGTATGTGCCCAATGCAATACTCATTTTTTGTTTTTAAATCCTACAAATCATCTTTTACTTGTGAAAACATATGGTTGTAGGGTGGTGTTCACGAATGTTTCAGGGGACTGATTAAGTTTTCTGAAAATGTTTATTCCCGCACATCGTAAAGCTAAACTAATGGAAACCTGAATTACTAAAACACTTTTCAGGATAGTGTGTATCCAACTCATCTTCTCCTACATCGTTTATAACATCATCATCATTGTCTCTACCTTTATCCACATTACCATCACAACACTGCATTTTAATTATCATTTCCTTCGGATTTCACTAGTTCAATGTACTAAACCAATGCCCACAACACTTGAGTGCAGCAAATATTTGCAGTTTAACGAAATTGGATACTAGCTTGATTTAAGACATTTTTTGTTTCACCAATGATCCTAAAAACTGTACAAATAAAAGGAATATGGAGTCAAGGCAACGAGGTGACTACAGCCTCTGGCCAGTAGAACCATTCTTTTAGCTATTCTTTTCACTGATTCTTTCACCAATACTTTTTAGAACCAGAACCAACTAAAAAATTGAGGCATTTAGTGTTTTCTTGTGGTTTTAGTATGAAAGTGTACAGCAGAAACTTTTTTACTGAAATCTGAACAGATTTCTATTATACTTCAAAAAAGAATTGTTTTTTAAAAAGAATATACCATATAGGCTCTAAATTGATTTTACAGATTTTAATTTTGATTGTAATTTTATATAAAAAAAGCTAGTATCAAAGAAATGTCAATGTATTTAGTAAGATTTTAAGCTGATCATTTGTACAAACACGGATCATAAGAGTTGTGGAAGAAATGATGTCTTTAACGGCCTTGATGAAAAGCATAATTAAGATTACCAAGTGCTTCTGTGGTTTAGAAAAGTGCTTACTATTATTATATAATAGATAGTGACATATTTAATAAAGAAGTGTTAGGAATGTTGACAAGATTTCTGTTTATAAATAAGTAATGATGTAACAGTTTATTTATAGCACTAAACTAATTTCACTTTTAAAATACTGATAACAAGGACGAAAAGTTTTACAGAAGTTTACTGGGAATATGGAAGATTTCAGATAAGCTTTAAAAGATGCGAGCGTAATTTCTCCATTCTGAGGAACTACGATACCATTAAATATAATCAGGTAATTGTAAAAGGTGTTATAAAAAGTATACACATAGTGTACAATGACAAATTTATTCTAGGGAGTGTCCATGGCAACTATGTTTACTAACACATGTACTACCTCAATTCCCATAAATTTAGTAGTTTCCTTGTGCTATCCTAAAGTGGTGCAACAACTCAGTATTGTAATCTTAACCCAGAATCCTAAGAACCTACAATCCATGTTTACTCTCTATCTAGGTTAGCTTCCTATTAAATTTGTTTATCCTGTTCTAGTTTGGTCAGGAAATCAATTGCAAAATTGTACACAGATACAGATGTAGTTGTAGGGCCTATGCATAGCTGCAAATGCCTGCCAAGCCATATTTAGCAGAACTGATAAACATTTGTATAAATACGTCACTTAGAGTTACAAGAAAACGCTTGCTAAAACATGATTGACATGTGGCAACTCTCTGTTGTATGGCATCAATAAATGGAATATGTTGTAGAGAATTCTGGAAAGCATTAATCAACAGAAGATAGATCTAATATTGAAATACATAGTATAGTATCCTTTAAATTTACTATCTACTGAAATAGTTACTATATCTACCTGGAATCATGGAATATTGCTCCATGGTAGAATTCTGAATATATGGTATAATGCTGATGGGAAAAAAAGAGAGTTGAAAACTCTTTGTAAATTTACATACCACCAAATTTCTGATCATCTCATTCCAATTGATCTGTTTCTACTGACAAACCAAATATAATAACAATACGTTTTTAGGCCCTTATGTCTCCACTTTCACTGTAGAACGCCAAATACGCAAGTTAAGTAGTATGAAAATCAAATTGCAGTGACAACCATCCTATCTTTACTTGCTAAGGTCAAGGGCATACATTGAGATTTAAAGATATAATAGAAGGAATTTCTGTAACATCCTTGGTTTACCAGCTGACAATTGGAACAAGTATGTGGCCAGTTTTTGTTGAAATTCTTGCAAATACAAAGTGAAAGAATGGCTATTGTAAACAGAAATACTTTCATTGTGCGAAATCTGGTTTTTTTTTTCTCTTTTTTTTTTTTTTTGCAACTATAAAACCACCACGAATTTGTGGTTATTGGAAAAGGCTTTAATCAAAAGTTCTAGAAAATACATACCACTGATTTAAGTAAGGAAGCAAGTTTGGAAATTAATTTTTAAAATTTTAAAACATACAAAAAACACTCATGACAACTTTTATTTGCATGATTTTTGTTTTTCAGATGGTTTTGTTGAAAGATTTGATTTTAAAAAAGGTTACTGGAAGTTGACATGGCTCTTTTGTTTATATATAACATTAAAAAATTAATCTATCAGAATAGGAATGTCGAAGCATTAGTCAGTAACAAGTGGGAATGTATTCAGTCTGTTAATACTAATGACAGTCTAAGCCTGCAGACATCAGTAGTTTATCTTTTAATAATGTTACAACCAACATAAATCTGTGCCCAGCTAGATCTCAAGCTTCTAGTCTACATATCTTGTACATAGGATCTTTGATTGAAACACATTTATATGTTATGTACATTATAGATTAACAGTAAATGAATAACCATCTCATTCTAAGTCAAATTTGAGTCCAAGATTCCAGGCATCATCATAATAACAGTTTCACAACAGAGAAGTGACCTCAATATGAGTTGACATCTGTAATTGTCCCTCTACACCCCGTCGTCAATTTATTAAATGATAATTTCATAATCACATGAACAGCCCCATACTAACCCCAGGTCACGTCTTTTACAATTAAATACTTCAACATATGATATTACTCCTTGATATCACAAATCTTTAATCGGGAAAGAAAGTTTTCTTTTTCAAAATATCAAATTTGGTGATTGTCACAGCTGGCTGTCAAACACCTCCCATCAGCCTTGATATTTTTTTTCGTATCATGATGGTCTCTAGATCAATTCCCTCAGATTAATATCAAACTCAATATAAAAGCAAACAGTTAATTGAATAAAAATTTCAAAGTCTACTCTCACCGCTGTCAAATACCTCCCCGTAAAATGTAATATATTTTCAGCCTCAATTTGTATTCTGAAGCTAGCAGGAAAATATAGATCTGCCAAAAATTACCAATAATAATTCTCCTAGATCCTGTAATAAACATCCGAAATCTTTAACATGAACATTTCTACTAATTAAACATACCAGAACAGATTTAAATGACTATACATATACTTTTAAATCAATCACACACACGTCAATTATGACCTTTTAAATTGTCATGTGTGATTACAAGAAATTTCAAAAGGAAATACATCAGAACAAGCGAAAATGAACAGAACACTACTACTTTAAATGTAATTGTGTTCAATCATTCTTTATTGATATTTAAAGCAGACAAATATACAAAAGAAATTTGCACAAGCCAGAACGCAGCCTAAATTTATAAGCTTTGTAAGCAAGATATCAATCGATTATAAAATTTTCAATTAGTAAAGACAGTATATTATTATCTATTTGTACAATTTATTTTGTAAAATGTAAGTGGTTATATGAGAAATTTCAAAATGAAATGTACCAGAAGATAAAAATTAATAGAACTGCTACTTAAACATATGACAAAATTTTCAATGGTAAAGATATACTATTATTGGTAATAAAGTTAATACTAAACATAATAAATTATATAAAATACACAAACATACTGGAATGCAAGCATACACTGGTATATAAAGATACGTACCACAATATGTTGGGAAATGTAAAAATAAAGTAACATGTTGGAATTGAGTACATGTACTCTCTACCAGTTACCAATAATTTGAACTACTATAAAGTGTAGTCTGTATAGTACCTCTAAATATATGGGTTGTATTTGTAGATTTAATTAAAATACTAAATGATAATTATGGTACAGTTCTCCATCCAATTAAGGCCACTTGGGACTGATAATGTGGGGTGGTCTAGCTTTGTGTAAAAAGACTTTCAGTTGGTACTTATAAAAGAGGGCCAAAATTAGAGAGATTAATATTTACAAAGATCACATAATTAAATTACTATTTAACTATATATTAATGTTGATGGAAACCAATTTGAAATAGTGATAATTGACAGCTAAATTGTAGTTTTAAAGTTTGTAAATTAAAATACATCATTTGTACATTTTTTAAATATTTAGGTTCATTTCAGAAAAGAATGCAAACAAAATGTTTAAAACATATACATGAATGATCAGATACAATCATTTTCCCCCTCATAAATCACCTTTAATAGCCTATTATGTCAAATGTTGTTAGCTTTGACATTAGTCAATAAGGTAATTAAACCAACAACTTGGTATGTAACAAGCCCCAGCTTGACATAAACAACTCAACCTTTCAAAGACAATTAAGTCTAAATAAAGGAAACCCAGATATAAAACACTACATGCAGAGCCGAGAGAGGAAGCAAGAAAAGTAATAAGAAACACCTACGGAATAGAGCCAGACTCCATTAGGCATGGCTGTAGGCTGCTGTGGGTATACAAATCCAGCTTCAAAATTCTTCATCTTTTCCCAAACAAGCAATAGAGAATAATATCCCTGAACGGCCACCTACAATTATGCTCCTGTTATTTAAAAAAATGAAGTCCACCTCTCAGGACCAGCACAGCACTGTTCTGAACATCAACTGCTAGTAAATTGAGACCTTAGTGTGTGTTGCAAGCCTGCATTTGTTCCTGATGATACACTTGACTGGAGAACAGTTATTTTGCGGTAATGAGATCTAAGAGAATGTGTGTTCTACTCAGCTGGGAGCTAACTTTCCTCAAGTCAAGTGGACTGTTAACAAATAACTGGGAAGGAGAATTTGGCGACCTCGCTTGGTGATCCCCTCTTGGATTTTTACCAGGAAATCTGGGTAGGAGAGCTTCAGATAGCCAATAGCCACACAATTCAATCAAGGCAACTGGGCAAGCATCAGATCTGAAGAATGATTGTTCTCTATCAAAGAATTTCTAAATAAAGAGGATTGAGAAAGTCAAACAAGCCTTTGTCAGCGTCATAAACCTACCTGAGTTGGTTAGATTGCTGACAAATCACCGCTGAAAAGGGGGCGTGATTCTGGACAGCACAATTCGCTCATTATTATTTCCTCAACAAGTACTCTGAACAGAAAAGTTATATTTCAGGGTTTTCAATTTACCCTAAGGCATTGTGAAAATCAGGCCATTCAATAAACTGGGTTTAGTGCCTCATGGTTGGTCTACTTCCAAACAATCTCCCCAGTTTTTTTCCCGATATTATTATTATTCTAAAGGGGCTAGTAGTAGCTCTTCAACACACAAATTAGTATGTGTGAAGGGATTATCTAATTCACATTACAGGACCCCAATGGAAATAAACCAGTTACTGTATTAGTTTTTTTGGGGATATCCTGGTCAATGTATGTTTATATGTTTTCCAATACCTTTAAAGTCATTTGTGTCATTTGTAATCTTTGCATGTTTTGTTACTGTAATTTCCTATGGCCAAATGAATGAATTAATGAATGAATGAGCATGTAAATGTCTGCAGTAAGAGAGGGAAAAAAAGATTAATAACATTAACAAGTATTTGTTATAGATGGTCAAAATAGATTGTAGATTATAGAACTTATTATTCAACTTTGGAATTCAAATAAAGTTTTTTGCAATTTCTAAAATGTAATTGGAGATGAACATGGACAATAGAAGAATAAAATAGGCTTCTTTAACAAAATTGTACCAGGAAGGATAAATAGTAAAAGGGCAACACACGCTAACAACATAGACGTACAAACACAAAACTGAGCATTTAAAGAGAAGGAAAGTTATAAAATATTAGTTTAGAACAATATATTGTACAAAAAAAAAATAGGACCTATACAATCAGATTTTAAATCTAATAAATTAGTACAGCATAGAAACATTGTACAAAATATACAGCCTATATTATTATTAGGTAAAAAAAAAAAAAATTCACATTTTGTAAGTTGAGATGATTAACAAACCTACAATTGTCAAAAATTTGCATGCGATGTTTGGCCATTATGCCATTATTACTTGTGTTTTCTAGGAAGAAATATATAGGCATAGGCGAAGAAAACTACAAGTCACTGGCATGATTGACAATCAAAAAGAAATATTAAAGACACAAAAGTTATTCACTAATGAATGAGGATTAACATCAATCATGGTATAGTCGTCATACTATAATAAAAATCAATATCAATTTGAAAAAAATATATTTTTCTGTGAATATTGACTTTGAGGTTGAATTCCAACATATTTGTTTCGAGTCAGGTGTTTTTGCATTTCAAACGTTATTGGGTATATACGTCAGAATGGCGTATGCTGCAATTTGCAGCGTAGGACAGTTCTAAAACAGCGAACGCAGGTTATGTACCTTTTTCAGACATATTATCTGTTGTTAATTGCCTATGCCCTAAACTTTCATCCTGCTAGTCAATGTGCAGGATTAAGTTTGAGTTAAAATTTCCATATTTATTAGATGACGAAAAATAATAATTTGCCATTTTTATAGTACATATTGCAAGGACTGCCTCTATGCACTTTACATTACTAAAAGATTTTTATAAAAAAGGAAATCACCTAAAACAAGGCTCTATGTAAAATTTACTCTAGGCAATGATAAAGAAATAAAAAATAAAATACATCACAGCAGAAACTTGAATATGACCTTTCGAACACTGAGACAAACATGGAATACACTGAAGGATGCTTATGCCAGGCTCACAAGACGCGGTTAAGCGCGGAAAATGATAGATGACCTTTGGTGCTGCAAATAATATTGTTTAATACTTGTATTAAACACCAGTTCTTGGAAACAATTGTACTCTCTTTGGAATCAAGAATTATTACTTTTTTCCTCCTTTTAGACAGGTCAGAGATATATGATTTCTATGCCGTAAAAATATTTATATAATAGACAGTCTGCTGGAATAGTATCAGACTATTAATAATATACAAGTTATATTGGGAATACTACTGTACGCCTCAAGCGAGTAAATTACCCGAGGTGCACAAAGACATGTAGCGCGCAGGCTGTACAAAGAGATGCGGCTGTACATATTATTGATCACTGTAAATATTATAGTATCAGATGTATACAACTTCACTATGTATCGATGGGTATGTATTGTAGTTATTTATATTTGCTCGTCATGAAATGAGAAGATACTTTGTATTGTTTCAAGAGTGATCAGTCTATAAATACCCCCCTCAATGGTGTGACTGCTAATCAATTTAACAGCCACTACCGGCACAGAAATATCAATATGGTTTATCTATTAAGAAATAAAATAAATAAAAAATGTTTCACGGCCGTATTAATAAACCACAACAAACTAGAAGTTACAGTTTAAACGGTTACTGATTGATTCAGCGATGTATTTTGTAATTTCAAAAAGCAAAACTATGCCAAACATGCAAATTTAACAAATGTGTGTATTAATATTATCATTGATTCCTGAATGGGAAATAAATGTGTTTCTTTAATGAGTGAGTCTTTATCACCTGACTCGAATGTTCCACATCTGACTATATGGAATGTGATAGTTTGTGGGATTACTGACAACAGAAGGCGGTGCCTATTAAAAGGTCAGACAACAGCTACTCTACTTACTATATTTTCTTTCTAAGCTGGATTTATAGAGGATAATAGAAAACGGAAATATTTAATGATTGCATATTCCGATACTTACGAATTTATCAAATCATATTGCACATTAGTGGAAGCGATGGTAGCATTACAAGGGTAAGAGAACATGAAAAGAGCAAGGACACTATGGGCCAGAAGCAAGTTTCTTTATAAGTTACATATTTAATCAATCTTATATAGCCTGCACAAGTTTAATTCAATAACGTGTAATACTCAAATAAGCAATGAACTTCTGATTTGACATTACACCTACAATTTGAATGCATACATGATAGGTCTAAAGTAAAATGTTTTAATAATACAAATTTATTCAAAGAAATTTGTAAAATTCCTCTGAATAAACAATTCAAGTAAGTCATTTTAATAACATATTTTATTAATAACTGCACACTTTTTTTTTTTGTTCTACTACTATGGAGAAACTGACATTTAAACTACATATCAACATGTATTTTGGTATTTTGTATTTTTTAAAAAGGCAAAAAAAAAAAAAATGCCATGAAGCATATTTTATGCAATTAAAAAATATTAAAATAACAAAAATACTATAACAAAAGTCATAAACAAAACTTCAGAAAAGATTTATAACCCTAAAATAAAATATTTTTTCTCTGTAGATGTCAAGAAATAGTGTGAGGGGAGACTTAGTACATTAAAATAAAATACTTAGCCCAACATCATATTATTAACATAATAGTATAGATTCTCCAACCATAATATACATTTTTCAATCAGAAGAAAATTCTTTGCATTCTTTGATTATTGTCATTTTCCCAATGAAATTTTACAAACCATGAAAGCCCTCTATTGGTTGTTCTTAACTAAAAAGAATTTATGAGCATAAACCATTATGCTGAACACAACCAGTTAATAAAATTTGCCTAGCAACAATAGGTTCTCTCATAACAATGGTTAACTAGAAAACATAAAATATCATTTAAATCAATAATTTTTTATCCGATCATTTAGATAAAACATGCATTTTTTCTAAGTGTGTGAATTAATATACTATTCACAATGTTAGTTCACCTCCGTGTATGCATTCTGTGTCAGTTTGAATTTGAAAGGTCGAAAAGACAAGGGAATCTAAAATTCTTTATGATTATGCTCAAAAGATCGCACATTTAATTCTAATGTCAGTGATAAATTTTGCTGTTCAGTTGGATGTAAACTAACTGCGGCTGGCTTTCCATTAGGAAATCTGCTATAAAAGGATTATGGGGAATGCTCATGCATGCTGCCCAGCAACAAGTCTCACAGACGTGATGATTGGTCAATGCACAACCAGTTGGCATAGAAACGTAATCAAACTTCATCAAGGACTAACACAGTGTTGAAAATAACCATAAAATAGCATTAAAGGGTCCTAACATAAACATACAAAAAGTTCCTTTTATCGGTGGTTCAGAGGTGAAATACAGGTTACTATCGCACATCGTCTTTTGGGAGAAAAGTTTACAGTTTTTATATATTATATAACCCTTGTAAACTCAGTAAATCAGAAAATGTTCTTGTATTTTGATCAATAGTCTACCAATTTCACAGGTTGACATTTGTATGTCTAGTACAGCATTAATACACATTACATCCTTTGTATTTAATTTCCTCCACTATCTTGTGATTTCCACTTCCACAAAATTTTCTCAACTGTGTTAATGACAACTTTTTGCTTTCTATTGTAAGATTAAAAGAAAATAAATCTCTCTTATTTCAAAGAGGATACATGTGGCTACACTGTGCTTAAACACATGGTTTCAAATTACATGGAGACAACAATCTTCAGAAAAAAAAGTCTAACGAATTAATCAATTATATTTACTATCAGAAAATTATTTCATTTTCCTCCCTTTCTTTTCCTAATCTTGACCTTGGAGTGACAGGAATTATCAAAATGACTCAATACCAATTTTACGAGACAATATATATTGATTTAGGCAAAACCCCCAAATTATTTCATTTTCTGCCCCCTCCTCTACCCAATTCTGGCCTTGAGTGACTTGAATTATCAAAATGCCTCAATACCACTTTTACAAGACAATAAACATGATTTAGGCAAAACTCTCAAATTAATTAATTTTCCTCCCCTTGCTCTTCCCAATTCTGGCCTTGAGTGACTAAAATTATCAAAATGCCTCAATACCACTTTTACGAGACACAATAAACATGATTTAGGCCACACCCCCAAACAGTAGACTACTTTAAAGAGATTTGATTTTATAATGTAAATCAATTTTGCCATAAGGAGAGCGCTATAAAATGTAAATATGAAAATGTATACCCCAGAGGGGGTAAGT